GAACTCCACGTCAAATGCCACACTTAGATACACTGCACATACTTTTGCTTCAGTTTTGCAGGCTGAGGCACACACACAGTTTTTATGCTAAATGTATTCTGTGCCTCTTTTCCTCCCATTCTCTGTCTGCCTTCCTTCCTTCCTGGCTGCATTGTGCAACCTCTAGACTTAAAAAAACCCAAACAACCCCAGACCAACCCAGAAAATTCACTGCCTCCAACATACATTAAGTTCATGTAAACAACACCTGCTATTTCACTAAACAGGCTGTTGCATCATCAGTATCTCTGCTTTTTCTACCTACCCTCTTGAAAATCACCATCTCGCTACCTGTAATAAGATCACAGTTCTCTGAAGTTTTTACTTTTCCCCCCAGTTACTTTTGAAGCTCTTGGAATAGGTTGTTTAGTTTTCTTTTGTGTTGTTTTTCTAAAGAAAAGTTGCCTTAGAGTAAGACGTTTCTGAAGACAGTGTATGCAGAAACTTTGCAATGTAATGTAGCATCTTAGCTTTCTTCTTCGGCTTAAGTCAATATTTCAGTTTAGTCCCCTTAAAGACTCACCCAGGGAAATACAGACCAATCACTAGGGCTGAATATTTTACCAATGGTTTTCTTAAAGCTGGTGGGACAAATCTGTGTGTAAGTCCTTTCATTGCCACTGAACATTCAGCTGGCCCAGCAGCACTTGATTGAAAGAGCAGCTGGACTGTATGTCCTCTTTGCTCCAATTTTTATCTGGGACTATTTCACACCAACTGTGTGGCTGTGAATTGCTGTGGAAGAGTCAAAGACAGCATCCAGAACCAGCCCTGACAACATGCACCTATCGACATCTCTGCTCAAAGAGCCACCTGTGGCTCAAAAGCTACCCATGTGTCACAATAAACATCAGGCACAATGTGTTAGAGAAGACTTAGCTGGGAATTAACCCACAGGAAACCCACCAGGATAAGCATGAGGGCCAGACAATTTGGAGCCCCTCGGAAGCAAATACAAAACTCACTTGTCAGAAACACACACTCAAATTTGGGTCCGGCAGAAGAAACTCCTTTCGTACCAACATCCACCTCTGGGATTTTTAGAAGGGCTAACTATTAAACACTGATGCCAAGCAAATAAACAGGAGGAAATGCATATATATGTACAAATATCAGAGGAAATTACGATTAGCTGTAGCTACTGAAAAGTACTAGGGAGGGAAACACAACTGCAAAATTAATACTGTAACAACTTGCTCTCCTGCAGGGAGAGAGGAGGAGGAAGGATGTTTATGTTACATTAGAGATGCTCATGGGATTACAGGGAACTCAATCACAGACCTTGAATGCTTACAGATTATACCTGTAGTCCAACTAAAGATGATGTTACTGGAACATCTCACACAGGCCCTGAGATCCAAATACTGGAGTGAGCTGACAAATCTGCATCTGTTCTTCAAATGTGGAAAGGAAAACAGGCTAATCACACAGCCTGAAGGATGTTTGCTGAGAGCACCTTCTAACGAAAAAAAAAATTCCCTGGTGTCCTAAAAAGATGATGATTTTTTAAAATAGAAAATTCTAAACCTCTACAGAGAATATCTCAATGTTGCAACTTGTTTTAATGAGTGAAGAGAGTGAATTAATCACTTGTAGGCTACAAGCAACTAAAGTATTAATGATCATGATCTAGTCACACTGACTTTGTTTTAAAATCTGAGTATACATTACTGCCTGCTGTTTATAGTCTGTTTTTACAATTGCTGGCACATGGGCCTAAAAAGAGAAGAGTGAGAGGCGTGAAACAAAACAAAGAATTGTTTAAAAAGAATCTACTGCACATCAAAAGGGTTCTTCCAAAACTGCGAGAAAGAGTTATGCTTGCAAGAAAAACTATTTCAGAGAAGCTAAAGAGCAGGAACATCAGGAAGACACACAGACTTATAAAGCATAGAGAGAGCACAGACATTAGTGGTAAGCAAACGAAGAAGCACAAGCAACCTCTACAGAAGCAGAGACAAGACAACAGTGAGGACTCCTCATGGTGGTTCAGGCAGTAAAAGGCACTTGTGAAAGCACCCATGCAGATCACGTCCATTGTTTGGTGCAGACAGTACGATCAAAAATTATGACATTGAAGGACACGAAGGACACTGAAATAACAGCTTTACGTGGAATTATCAGGACACATTGTGTGCTGGATCAAATTAGATTCTTTTAAGATTTCAATACACAATGGTTAACAGAAAAACATAAGCAGAAAGGTCGCTAGTGACCGTTTCCAAATTCTAGTGCGCTTTCATAAGTTTGTCATTTGAGGTTGAGGCAATGTGAAACTTCTTACTCATAAAAAACCCTCAAACAAACACACACACATAAAACCCCAAAACCAACCAACAAACAAAACACCACCAACAACAAAACCAATATAGTGCCTAATAATGAAAAGGGAAGGTTATTCTTATGGGGTATAGCTAAAGTCACAATAAAGTCTTTTGAAATGCAGCTAAATCCAAGGTACTAGCCCCAGCAAAGAACAGTTTGCAGGCTTAAAGCAGCAGACATGCTTTGAAGACTGTGACTTAGAGACTTGGAGCTGGAACAAATTGCTAAGTTCGTTTATGTCTTCAGTGATCATCACAGATAGCTGCTTCAAAACAGGTACTCAAAGAATGGTACAGGGAAAAAAAAAGTCCTAGCAAGGCTTCTCTCAAAACCCTGTGCTCAGCCCTGCCAGCCACACTTAAAGAAGGAAGTGAATATAGGAGAGGGAGCTCAAAGGAAGGCCAAAGAATTGACCCCTGAGCTGGGCAAAGCAAAACAAAGCAAATCTTACATGTGAGGCTGACAGAGTTCACCCGGCTCAGTGATAAGGTTGAGAGCTGTCATGACGACTATTTAGGACCACATTTCAAACTCGCAGATAAGTTAAGAGCTGACAGTAGGAATTCCAACCTTCATTTCCCAGCAAAATTTCCCAGCAATGTTGGGAAATGAACTACAGAACAGTTTACCGGGCCAGATGGTCAACTCATTAATGCCTGAAGTTTTCAAAATGAGATTACACGTGTTTAAAGAAGACACGCCCAAATCAGCTTTTAGGAAAAAAGAATCTCTGTGACTTAATCATGAGAAATGTCAGGTCAGAGAGTATAATGACTCCTGACTGTTCTTTTAGTGTATAAATTGGAGTACTTAACCATAAAAAATTAGAAAAATCAGCTGTCTCCTTCAAGACATGCTGTGGCAAACAACACTCGTTAGAGCCCCCTTCAGTATTCACACCCATCCAGACACACACAAACTCCTCCAGTGTGTCAGAGCCACTGGCACTCAGCTCTACTTCAATAGCTGTTTACATGTATTAAACAAACATACAAAAGACTAGGTGTGAACCTGGCACTGAAGGTACGGTTTGAACATTTCAGCAGTCACTCTAAAGAACCCCCTGGTCAATCCCTAACAAAGCACAATTCTGACATTAGGGTAGAAAATGCCAGCAATGTTGATGTGGAAGTGGGAGATGAAATTCACTTGCTCTGTGGGAAGCCTCCTTCTTATAATGTAATATCCTATGCTCTCATGTCCATCATTTCTAACCACAAGCGAGCTGGAATAAGGTATTAAAGAACAGCACCTCCTTTGATGCTTGTAAATGGAACAGCAATTTTGGAATGAAAACAAAGAAAAAAATATCAAAGCAGGCATTCCCTAGGTAAGCAGGGAAAAAAATCACTTGTCATTCTCCAGTAGTAATCAATTTAAAGTACATGCTTTTTCATTTCCAGATGAATGAAGGGTTCTGGTGCTCTGTCATAATTTTATTTACTTTAGGCCAGGAAGCATCTGATCTGCTTTAAAAACTGTGGATCAATTCTGTATTAAAATACCATCACTCTGCCTACTCCTTCAAAGTGCTATAAAATATGCTGAAGGAAACACTGGAATATTCCCCAGGTACCATGGCTGAAACAAAACCTGCATCAGAGGAGTCTTTTTAGAAAGAAACAACTACCACCACCTTCCCACTCACTCCCCCCCAAGCACCAGGCAGTCTCTATGCCATGCCTTTTTTAACTTTTCTGGTTTTAGTCAAGAACATAAACCAAAAATAAGCCACAGACTGCACGCTAAAGGTTAAGGAAATTACTGGTGGGATTGATGAAACAGAAAGTGAGATGTCCTATCTTGAAGAACAACATTTTATGTTTAGCTTAGGTTTGCCCTCGCACATGAATGTAATACTTATGGGTTGTCACTTAAATTAAGGCCAGAGTCAGTCCTCCAGTAGGAAAGTTTCTTCATCCCTACCAGTGCAAAGACAGACATCTGCACTGGAGCCCATGTTTTTAATCAACAGTTTTCTCCTGTATTTTTCTCTAGATAGAAAATAACTCATAACCACTTCATTTCACCTGCTGTGTTTTTTAAAGCACTGTGAAGCATGCTGTTCATACCACAGTGTTAAAGGGTCAGATTACCCTCACCTACAACCTGTTCAATAAATTCCACTAACACTCAAAAACCACTTAACAAAAACAAGTAAGTCAATAAAAGAAAAGGGGAAAAAAAGTATTCAAAGCAAGATGAATTTCAAATCCAAATAATTTGAATCAATATTCAATCGCTACTGTCTCAGGTATTGTGACAAAGCATTTCAACAAAACCCACAAAATTTTTATTCATAGGTCTTTTCATCTCAAGAGCTTGAAACAAAGATCTCACTACCTCTAAAGCTTACTTCTACAAATTATATTATTATACACAAACTAAGGACAGAACCCCCAATTTTAGCAAACTTTCTGGTTTGCTTCAAAAACATATGCAACATGAGACTTCAGAGGAATACCAATGTTTGTTACCAGCAAGGAAAAAAACAAACAAACCAACCAAACTAATACCAAAACACCCAAACCCTGCCACTGTTTATTGCCAAAACATGGTTTCCCACAACCCAAATTTACATCGAGCCCATGAACACAACACTCTGGGTTTTTCTTCTAAAGTACAAATATACTTACGAAAGGACATTCCCAATGTAGGCATAATACGAACAGCAGTAGGGAGTAGTCCCATCACAGCAGTAAGCTTTGCAGTCATTATCACACTGAGCCAGACAATCTTCTGCTGAATAAAAATAACACTCATGAGGTCAAACGGCAGCAACAACAAAATGCTGTACAGCACAGCTTTAAAGAAAATGGATTCTAACAGTTTTATACAATCACAGGACTTCACTTGAGGTGCGACCTGACCCTGTAATCCTAATGGCAGCCCATTCCCACTCATTCTGCATTTCTGAGTTAGGTGTTTTGTGTATGGGTATTTTGTAGCTGGCCTCATCAGTTCCTTCTTATACTTAATCCGTTAAAATAAAAAAGAGCATTTTGAAATGTTGAGACACCACGGATCAACTTTTTCCATTCCATCAAGGAGTCCAGCCTGCCTGTCTTGTTGAACTGCAGGGTGGCAGGGGAGGAGAAGGAACGTGTCTGAGAACAGGCTACGCTCCCAGACCCTGCCCAGCCCCAGCTTGGCGTGCAAATTAGACTGCCTGGGGCTCCCTCACCCCCTGCCAGCTGGCAGCAGCTCCTCTGGCTCTGCTCCAGCCCCAGGGCCACGGGTAGCGTGGAGCAGCAGTGCCCAGCAAGGAGGCCAGCAGTGTCCTCTCTGCCCCACTGTCAAAGATTGTCCTGCCCAGCTGGGGCCACGAGTGTTTCCAGCAGCAGCACTCTGCCAGACTGAGGAACAAAGCAAACTGTGAAAAAACAGTAAGAAAACTTGTTGCAATTAAGAAGCATGGAAGAACATGTATCTCGTTATTGCTGTTGAGAAGTTACTTTAAAGGTATTGACCTCTTGTGCTGTCGTGACTCAGTGTTTTCAAAGCCCTAAGTCCGGTCCCCCCAAGTAACTAACACCATACAGTCTTTGTGTATTGTCAATGCACTGTAAGAACATCCTCATGGACTCCACACTTCCCACATCTCATCCCTGGTTCTCCTTCCTCACTCTCAAGACTTCAGCTTCTGCCTGGATCAATCCAAACAGACTCCCTGTCCTGGACACCACCACCCTTGGTGACTTATTTGGTCACACACTGCCATGACAGAGACCTGAAAACAAAGATGGCAAAGCTATGCTTCTGCATTCCCAGTGTGCTGTGGCTCCTGTTCCCCAGGCAGCAGCTCATGCCGTGGGGTTCCCACTCTCCCTCTGCTGTCACTGTCATCTGTGCTGGCCCAACTTTTAGTGTGCTGGAATCCAGACAACACCAGCTCATCCCAGCTGCTGCTGTGCTCCTATTCCTGTCCCACCTCTGGGTGCGAGTTCTCACCTCACACCGAGGCTCCTTTGCTCACTGACTGTGCAGTGAACGGCTCGTGCTGCTGATCCATCTCACAGCCTGAAGCTTGCTCATGGCATTTTAGCAGGTCAGCTCTCTGAACCTGCTCATGCTTGAAAACAAGTACCAAGTGAGGGCGAGGGCTGGAGAGGGCTGTGCAACACAGCACATGGGTCAGCCTGTGCAGCCGTACCCTAAACCTGTGCAATTACCCTGGTATTAAAGAAATGCATGAAAAAATGGAACAACTGACCCATCGTTCTGCCAACCACCCCCAGCAAGTGATTCAGGGCAGCCAGTGCAACATGCATCTCTGGGAGAGCCCTGCTATGAGGGAGCAGCAAAGCGACTGCCACAAGGTTTTGGCACAGCTGCCCTCGTGGGATGCCCCATGCCAGTGGCTCCAGGTTTCTGTACTGCTACCTTTTCTTTGGGACAAGCACCTGTGTCTCTAGCTGGGCCTAGGCAGCACGTCCTGACTCAGCCGTGGCGGTACCACGGTTCCTCCATCCTGCCCGGGTACCTCACAGGTTTCTCCTGCAGGGTGCAGGTTCACAAAATCACATAACAGGTCAGCTTGGAAGGGACCCCAGTGGGTCATCTGGTCCAACCTCTCTGCTCAGACAGGGTCATCCCAGAGCACATGGCATAGCATTGCATCCAGATCGTTCTGGAATATCTCCAGTGAGGGAGACTCCACAGTCTCCCTGGGTAATCTATTCCAGTGCTTGGTCACTGCTCAGTAAAGAAGTTCTTCCCTAAGTTCAGGTGGAACTTTCTGGGCATCAGTTTCTACCCGTTGCCTCTGGTCCTCTTGCTCGGCACAACCGAGCAGAGCCTGGCTCCATCCTCTTGGCATACCCCCATTACATATTTATACACAGTTTATCCTCCCTGCAGCCCCAGCGGCACTCACGCCCGGCACACCATGCCCGGGAGCGCTCTGCTGGGAAACCCCGGGGAGCCCCTTCCAACTCCGGCTGCCAATTCCACCGCCGACGAGGAAAAGCCCCCGTGTCTGCCCTAAACCTGCGGCCCCCGCCGCCCTCCCGGCCCCGCTCGCACCCGTTGCCCGCGCCCCCGGCCCCGCTGACCTGCCAGGAGGAGCAGAAGGAGGAGGAGGCCGGGGGGCAGCAGCAGCCCCCGGGCGGGACGCCCCTCGGTCCGGCCGCGCCGCCCCGCTCTCTCCATGCCGGCGGCGGGCGCGGAGCCGCCGCCCGCCCCGTCGCGGGGGCGGGCCGGGGAGGTGGGCAGGGTGGCGGGCGGCGCCGCGGGGACCGGGCAGGGACCGGGCCGGCCTGAGGGCGGCTGCGGGGGGCAGCGGGCTCGGCCCGGCCCGGCTGCGCCCTGGTGGCGGCGGCAGCGGGGCCGCCCCGTCGCGGCGCGGCCCCTCTGCCTTCCCCGCCTCCCGCCGCCTTTGTCCGGCCCGGCCCCGGCTCGGCCGGCGCGGGGACACCCGGGCGCGGCGAAAGGCAGCGCCCGTCCTGCTCGCACCGTGTTCGAGGGGGGTCCTCGGGGCAGTTTGTGAACAGCGATTGGGAACTGTGATCGTTTTGAAGGCTGTGATCGAAGTCATAATTTGTTCGTACAGGCGAGCGAGGGAGCGGTGCGGGGATGCGGCGCGCTGGTGGAGGGGCTGCCGGCCGTGCCCGTGGTCCTGCTGCTGGCACAAACCCCACACACCTCGTCCGTGCTGCCCAGCAGAGTAAGCATTTCCCATCACCAGGCCAGAACAATACTCTGAAGTGTTTTTCAAGAGCGATTTCTGATAACCGCTTAAGTGCCGCCGTAACTCACCCCGTGTGAGAATTCCCACAGGCGGGGCCCCAGAGGCCGAAATGTTCACCCCGCGGTCTCACAAAACGAAAGGCTCGGTGTGTGACTTCGCATGAAGAGCTGCAGGTCGAGGAATGCCCTTTGGAAGGCTGAAGTATGCACACAAAAATGAGAAACATCCACAGGTGTTTCTGCTCATAAAGGGCTTCCTGCTGCTGGCAGCTCACAGGGGAAGGCTCACACAGAAACATACAATGATTTTTTTTTTCCCCAGGATTTAGCTATTCTACAATGATAACAACAAAACCCCAAACCACCAAGCCAAATCACTTGAAAGCTGGTTGTTTTGTTTATCAATGCAACGTTTTTTCAAATGTCTGTCAGAACTTGCCTGTCAACAAAGAAAAATAACTTTACATGTTTTTAGCTACCCTGTAGCATGTATTCCTTAGTTTATGCAACAAGCCAAGTTAAATGTATAAAAGGAAATTTCAGTCATATGTTAACTGCTGAGAGTAAAATTCGGACCAGGTGGGGAACTTTATTTCAAAGGATTTGCATCTGCTGCCTGTGTCTTCGTCTGGTCACAGGCTGCAGTTGTCTCTGGAAAAAAGCTTGAAAAGTAATACGATTTTGCCAATAGATAGTATTGGTAATAAAAGAAAAGAATTTAGCAGATAAACGAGTCACAGATCTGGAGATAACTCCCAGAAACTCTGACATCTCCAGGTTTTTGTTTTTAAATAATCATCCTTGATCACCATCAGCCTTTTGTTGGTATTTATTTTGTGTTCAGTTTTTGGTTTTGATTCCTTCCCCTGCAGTCCCCTCCCCTTCACAGCTGTCTTGGCAAGTCACATTTCAGTATTTTCCAAAAATGTGGGGTAGAATTGCCCTGTAGTTGTAAACCAGTGTGCTTGAATTCCATAACAATTTGCACTTAGCAACCTTATGGACTTTCTGTAGTTATTCTTTTCTGTCCACAGGGGACAAGTCCTTTGAACCTTTGTAACATTTCGCAACCCTAATTATTACTTCCCAAGTACTGTCCTTAGAACACACAACTGAAAGGTCCAGCTGACAAAGGGAAATACATCTTCATATTAATGTTGAAAACAATCCATGAGAAACTTTCAATCCAAGGCTTTACCTCCTTCCTCCTGTGTATTTTTCTTCGAAGAGAGGAGGGTGTGTGTAGGGGGAAGTCACAAAATTCATCCTCTGGTACTGGGTTATCAACCTTTAACCCATGCCCAGGGTAAGCTGGAGTAAGAGACCCTGCTGTGGGTTGTCACAGGCACCCAAGGGACTGCTCTGGGACAGCTCCCTGCCCAAGGAAGAAGGACACCCAGAAGAGGAAGTGTATCCCCAGGTGTGCCCATCATTCCAGCTCTACTGTGTGCTCTGAAGATGAAGAAATCTGCTGGAAGAAGATGTACTGGAACTGTCTCCTGCTCTGTCCCCTTTCCACTGCTCTCAGCATCATGGAACACATTTGCAGAAAGCTGAAAATAGGGAGAACAATGTCAGGGCAGTATCATCTGCTTCTGCTGTGCTGAGGTCCTCCTGGGACCAAACACTATTTAGTGTTCTCAGAAGGAGGTTTTAAAGGAAGAAGAATTCACAGCAAAGAACAATGAAAGATTAGAGCTAAGGTCCTAGCCACAATGAGACTCCTCATAAAACTGTATCAGCACTACATGATGGCCAAATCATCTCTTATCAGAAATGTGTTTTGAAAGATGGTTTTCAAAAGCATGCAGGATTGGTAACATCATGTTAAGTGTACAAGCCCTCAAGTGCTAATCTTCCGGCACAGTTCAAGGAGAAAATCCTGCTCCCAGTGCACTAGTGTTTTGAAACTCGCTATAATCAGGCATCTCTGTCTCCAGAAGCTTAATTAGCAGTTTAGAAACAGTAATTATCACACATAGAGCACTAGAGGAAACTTAATAGAGGAAAAGGCACATTCTTAGGACAAGCATTTAAACCTCTTTACCTCTAGACTACCTCTAGAGAAATCACTTGAAAACAATTAACTGGATATCTTATACACATGCTAAAGATGTCTCTTGTTGAACTCGAGCTGCTAACTGGCACAATATAAGGAACAATAAGTCTTCTGTATGTTTTCCAGCATGTATCAAGCTGACCAACTTGTGAGCATCTCCAAAAAAGCCTGGGTGCTCTTTGCAGCAGCAGGGGAGCTGCTGAGCCGGGCAAAAGCCTGGTTCTGGAAAGAGGGGCAGTCAGGAAGCTGCCTGTTAATCTCTGCTCCATGTGGTCCTGTCATGGCATGGGGGGTACTCACATCTGAGCATTAACCACCTCTGAGCACCACCACCTTCTGCTCTCAGTCAGGAGCAGTGCCTGTATGTGCTTTGGTACCTGGGAGAAGTGTACAGGTCACCCTTCTTTTCCTGTGGGTTCCTTGTGCCAGTGTCCAGTGGTAGGAAGCACAGCAGATACACTGTGCTTCTGATGGCACACATCATTCCAATGTGGATTTCATCCAGGATCTTCTATTTTGCTACACCATGAAAGAGCAACCAGGAGTAGCTGACAGAGGGCATACTCCAACTCCTGATGAAATTAATGAAAGGTTTCCCAGTGACTCCACTTTAGCTGGACCGGGTTTCTAATTTCTGATTCCCTTCTGTCTCCCTTTCCTTATCCCACCACTAGTCTAAAATACTTAATCTTATCTCCTCCTTTAAACAGAACATTTTTTGCACTTCTCATCAGTTTCATTGTCGCTTTGGGGTGCTCTTTCTGCTAAATCTTTTTCTGAGGATGGCCTGAATACTAATGCAATATTTAAATGGATTTTTAATATCAAACTCTATCCTCCTTTGACAGAGATCCATGTCTTTTCCTGCCTACTCCATTAGCATTAGGTTTATTGTAGATTGGCATAGTTACGCATACGCTGCTGTTGACTACAAAAACAAACAAACAAACAAACAAACATGCTTTCTTTCTTTTTTTCCCCAAAATATTGTCTGTGATTACATTGCTATTTATCTCCACACAGGCCATTTTATTATCTCCTTCAGGGTTCTGCTTTCTGACAGTATCTTTGGCACTGGAGAATTTATGACAGAACTCCCAGAAAGGTATGAGACAGTCTTCTTCTTCCCTATACAGACTGCAGGTCCCTGTCACATGAGGAATATACTCAGCCCTCCTGCCTGCTGCTGTATAAAGCTGGTAAAAAGCAATACACAGGAATACCATAATTCCTAGGCAGCAAACAACATCTCCTACGGCCCTCTCAGTTATACCTACTGTGTTAAGGTAGCCGGAATCTCTGCAGTACAGTGGTCACATTCTACAAAATTATTCTACTTCTACATATGTAGAAAGAATTCATTTGCCTACAGGAAGGATGGAACACATTTGGCATTATTTCTATTAAAGAACAAGGAGTGTCTCAAAATGCTGTATCCTTTCTGGTAGAGCACCAGAGAATGATTTATAAACCTATCCTAACAGTAGGCACCTGATGAAAGATAAATTTCATTCAGACTTGATAAACATTATCTAAAAATACAGGGATTTGTGTGCTTTATTGGTTTCCTTAATGAAATATTTGTAAAATAAACTAATCTGTAGTTCTTGGTGAAGATTAGCAAACAGTAACAACATCTGGAGAAAATTCACTAACCACAGAAGTCTTGGGTTTAGGCATTAGCATTGAGGTTTTTCTCTTTCAAATCCTCTCCCAATCAATTTTATTTTTTTCGCCATTTGGTGTGAGAATTCAGAATCTGAGTAATTAAATGGTCTTTCTTAAATGCCTATATTACTTTTGAGGATGTATGGATCAAAATCAGAATTATAAGAACTTTGTCCAAACTTACTTCCTTTTGAAACTGAGCATTAGCCATTAAACAGTCATGACATTAAATCCTTGATTGAAGTGAGTTAACTATCAACATACAAGGTACCAGGGCAGCTACCATGTCATCTGACTAATACTCCTCTTTTTTTCTTTTCTTTTAAATTTCAGGGGTTTAATTTTTAAAATTTCATCCTGCACGTAGGTTTAGAGCACAATGATAAATTTTTGTGAACAGCATCCTTTTTTATTGTGACAGTCAGTGAGGGAGGTATGTAAGGGGATGAGCAACAAGCTCATTACCAAGTTAAAATGTCTCATCAGTGTCTTGGTATTTGTTATTTTTCACATTCCTTCTACAGAACATTTTAAATGAACAGTCAAGCCTTCAGTTTTTCTGGAAAGAATTGAAACAGCATGGAGAGCTCTGTACCAAAGTATCTTATCACTTTCTACAACTCCCTGACAGGAGGTTGCAGCTAGGTGAGGGTTGGCCTCTTCTCCCAGGCAGCAAGTGACAGAAGGAGAGGACACAGCCTCATGCTGCACCGGGGGACATTCAGGTTGGACATGA